CCCCCCCCAGCACCACCACCACCCATGACCACAGGTAAGAGAGGGACCCTCAGCCCAAAAGCCAAGCTGCGTTCTAAGCCTGACAAGATGCAAGATGATGAAGCGCCTTCATCTATCACAGCATGTCTTACTTATGGTTACCACTCGTCTCCAAAATGTAGCATTCGTTGTAATCAGGGTATCATGGCTCTTCAGCTGGTTAGTGGAAGTCAGCAACAAGTCAACAGCGTGGTCTTCAGGACTCAACAGAACAGCCATTTTTCTGTTGGTCTCCCCAGCTTCTGCAGAATGGCAGGCATCCAACGATCATCAAGCAGGCCCGAGCCGGCCCCATTGCAAGTATACTTATCTGAGGCGGGGGGTGTGAAAAAGGGAAAATCTACTATAAAATATTCATGATTTGGATACTCTCATAAAAAGCGTGCATTATCATCCAAAATACCTAATTCATATTTCACACAGTTACATCCCCTTTGGAGAGATATTAAAATGAGGACGGCTGGGTTTGTTCCCATAACCCTTTTGGTAAAGACATTGTGCGAATGCCAACGGCCTGACGGGACGCCACGCGTGACGAGAAGGCAAGGCGTCAGAAGACAGCAGCCGTCAAAGGGTCCTTCACTGCGTTGGGCCAGGTTGCCCTTCCCAATCCAGGTTGCCCTTCCCAATCCTCAGTATAACTCTAAAGCTGACGGCCTGAACCTCACGCCTGCCGGCGCTTATGGGCAGTCTATCAAGCTCCTCACGGGCGGCAATTCTGACAATTAAGATCCAAGGGGGGGGTTATGTCAAGATGAACTTCATTACCCAGGACTCCCAGCAGCTTGGGGCAATACCAAAAAACAGGAACACGGGGTGATTAAATAGTGCATATTAAAGGCTGTGCCCCCACTCTGCTAATCCGGCGCTTAGCGAGGCTCCTGCAAGCTGCTTGAAAAATACTGCCACGTTAATACTTCATGCTACTTCGGGGGGCCCATAAATTTCTCTAAACAGGGAGGATTTTCTAAAACATAAAGGACCACAGGGGAGAAAGGTGAAGACGATCCGCAAAAACGCGACAGTCCCAGACTTCCAGGGACCAGCGGCGTCTAATTACCCTGTAATTAATATTTATAAAATCCAACTTTTCGGCACGTCTGATGGCTTGTCTGCTTTTAAGTGCATAATTCCCACTGCTACCATTATTCACACCAGCAGACACCAGTCAAACAGTGTGACTAATATGGTCTCCGATGAGGAGATATACAGACAGGTATTTGTGGGTTAAAATCTACAGTGGGTGAGATCATTCCCAGACACGTAGTGTATCGACACTTAGAAATTCAACTTAAAACCTCCTCACTGTAGCCAGAGGTATACTCAGAGGACAAAGGTTAACACTCAGCGTAAAGCCTAAAGCGTATAGTCAGCAGTAAATCAGCAAATGGATTTCCAGTTCCAAGTTATAAATATTTAACTTGGTTAATCGCAAATCTCTTTTTAAATGTAGTTTCTTAATTATCAAAGGTGCTGAGTAAGAAGGCAATTCAGGCTGTGAAGAAAATGTTCATAACCAGCTTGAATGGAACCGACGAAAAAAAAACAGCAGTTTGGTTTGCAGAGAAAGGGGTTCATTTTCATTTCTGAAGTGCTAACACTCGTCCGTTTAGAAAAACTGCAACAGATTAGGGGGAAGACTCACAGTTCTTAAGGGACCCAGGATAAGATATCAGGATTTTCTTGTTTTCTATGTGATTTAATCTTTCAAAGTAATGAGCAGTTATTCAAACCCAACATCAACAGATTGATTACTCTGGACTGCATGTCATAAATCACCATGCTAATAAAAGTGTTATTTTTTTTTTGAATCAGGAGATATTTAATGTCAGGATGAGCATCACTATTTCATCCTCTTTATTTCTGCTCTCCCTAAGACTGCATGGACCCCAGTGTGAGTGAATGTACCTTCTTCACCTTTCCGTAAAGGAAGTGTCACCGACGCCTCATCAAGGGACATTTTATGCTAATCAGGAGCTCTGCAGCTGAACTCCACATGTATAATTCAACATTTGGATTAGTCAATTAACAGACACGATTAATTTAAAAAAACCACATAAATTAGGCACAGGGTTGTCTCAAGGATGGGGGCTGGGGCACTACTGCAATTGGCTGTTCTTCCAGCGAGGGGTCACAAGTTCCTAGATACACATGGTCTCTTTTGTCGCCCCCTATAGGGCAAAACTTCGCCGGGGGCACATAAGCGTTTGCACACATACTTATTCTAACTCGAGCGAGTTTACATCAAACACTACTCCTCATAGCCAACCTACGCAACGCCGGCTGCCAAAGGCTAATTTAGCTAATTCCAGATCCATTTCCTTTACTGCCTTTTCTGTAACAACTTCATCTGTAATGCATACATCACTAGGCAGAGTGAAGAAAACATTTCATTTTATTAACGTCTGCCTTCACGCATACAGCAGAGGCACACAGGTCTGAATACAGCTACAGTGCACAGGAATGCAGGCGTGATATACTGAGCTATTAACGGCACTGACTGGCTTGAGATTCATCATCGGTGTGCAGATCCTTTGTGACTAGGCACCGTAATGTATGTGTCAGGACACCAGGGGGCGCTTCATAATTCCACCTTTTGCCAGCTTATTATCTCACATTAAAGAGCAAAGGCCTCTTATTAGAGTCTCACATCACACAGCATAAATCAGTACACTGATATCACCGCCACGAACGCCACTGCCTTCACCGTCGGCGCTGAGGTATCACTGCCACGAACGCCACTGCCTTCACCGTCGGCGCTGAGGTATCACTGCCACGAACCCCACTGCCTTCACCGTCGGCGCTGAGGTATCACTGCTATGAATTCCCGGCTCGATACTGCGATTAGCAGACACAGTTTACGCTGCTATAAGGTTTCATTACACATTCCACCGCAGGTTATATTATATTGTTCAGATCTCTACCCTTTCTGTGTACCCGCGTTTTTTTGCCTCAGCTTATGAATATAATGCCTAACTTTTTTCACCACAAATTAATTTTCTTAAAGGAAAATAATGAAAGGAGCTGAAGATCAGGACCTTGGAGAAACTTCTGGTATAAAAGGAGTGAGATCTTGTGGATTTTGGAGGTAAAAGATGCTAAGTGCTAAGCTAATTTCAGATGCAGGTGTGACAGTGTCCCCACACACATTCAGGAAGGAGGTGTGTCCACATGGTGGGGGCGCAAAGACTGCAAACAGCCTTACCCCAGCAAAAAATGAGCCACTGCTTCTCATTTCTTCCCGTCTTTCCTCTAAATCGATTTGTTTACACTCTCTGAAGAAGCGGTGGATTAGAGCAGGGCAGCAGCAGTCCATGGGAAGACAGCACCCCCACGCCGCTCTGCTGCACTCGCCGACCCTGCTCATTTTTCTGCAAAATTGCCAACGTTGGGAGAAATAAGTGCTTCCACAAGAGGAAATGATGTGGAAAACCCCCTCAGCGATGAGCACAGTTATGGCCGCAGAGACGGCTTATCTGATTGGCCAAAACAGGATCACGTGATTAAGAAACTCCCAGCACCACAAGCCAGGGGTGTGAGTAAAAGCAAGGGCAATTACAGCTAACATGTGCCAACATCCCTGTGTGGCTCCGGCAGCCTTAAGAGGACTGAGGTTTGCAGACCAATAGGTCTAATAAGCATGAGCTGCTCAGGGTAACCTAAGGGGTAACCTAAGGGGTAACCTAAGGGCATCCGGTAGGGTCTCCAGCAGGAACCAGGCCCATAATCGGCCGCGTGCTATAATCCCCAACACTACGGGAAACACGGCTTCGCAGTTTGGCCGGTATGCCTGCAGTTAGCATAAACACCACATGAGCGACGCCCCTCAATGCAGCAGCATCCCTCCACTTGGGGGCGCTGGCCAGCCAGACTAATACGGGACTTAGGTCACCCAGACAAGCGGGCAGCCTGCGCTCCTCCGCCGCCAGTCAGGAGTGCTGCACGAACTGGTAACTGTAAGAGGCCAGTCCGGCTACTGCCTCATTAGAGGCCAGGAGATGAGAGCGGGGACTGGCTGACCCACGAGAGATGGAGATCCAAAGCCTCTGTGTCCGACTCCAGAGGTGTGTAATCGCATGGGTCAGGGGCCAAAGGGAAAGAAAAAAAAGAGATAAAAGAGAAAAAAATCAATGCCGCCTTTCCAGCAGATGGAGTGGAAATACCCTACCGACCTGCCGTTCTGAAGAAAGTCCCAGAAAAGACGCTAATTATCTGTGGACGTTTCACAGAGACCCACGTATCAACCATGCCTCTTTAATGAAGAGCCGGGTGCCCCTGCCATTTACCCTCTTCCGGCTGTGGTCAACTGAGGGATGGGCCCCGTGGATTTGGGGCCCCCAATCTGCATTTCCAAGAAAAACAGGGCGCTAAACATCATCAGCCATCACTGAGGACTACTCCAGAACTTGGCTGCTTTTTAATATGCCACAGACCAGCTAAGTAATGCAGGATTCGAACCCCCAACCCTGCAGGTATTTCGCTCTCTGCTTTATAATTAAGACATCCTTTAATGTTAATAATCATGCGGCATGCTTTAGCCCCAAACCCACGGTCTGAGACCTACCTGCGGCACACTCCTTCTCATCAGCCCCATTCTCGCAGTCCCGCTCTCCGTCGCATCGCCATGACAGCGACACGCACCGGTTGGCGGAGCCACCGCAGTCGAACTTCTCCGGGGGGCACGTCTGTCGACCTGTCGGGGCAGGAGGGTGGCGCAGACTCAGCGGGGCCTGGAAAGAGGCTCCGGTAACACGGCCGTGACCCCGGTTAAGGGGCAGCATGCCGAGGTTCTATTAGCAAAGACCATTAGCAATCAGCCCTATTGCTTTCTGCCTGCTGAGCAAAAACTGTTTACAGTACATCAAAGTGACAGTGCCCCTCGCCAAAACTGGCCACGCCGTCACACAGGCTACGGAACTGTTCATCTTATCACAGCAGCTTGTGATATTACCATGGTTACCATCAGCTGACCAACTGTATTTTATGATCCTAAAACACAAAAACTGGCTTCAAAATCAATACCACTTACATGAGTTCTTTATACCACAGCCCGGTGACGGCCTTCTCTCTGCCAGCCTCCTAAGATGCTAAATCCTACTTGGGGGGCTCTCCCCCCCCAAGCACGCTGGCACACTCGGCTCACTTGGCACGGCTGGGCTGCCGTGGGTCTCACGGGAGGATTTATCAAACGTCTGCCGGCGCTTAGCGGCCCGAGAGAGGCCTACTGGGCGATAAATGACGTCCCGGGATTGGTGACAGACGGCGGCAGCACACTCGCCCACTTTCGCCACCAAGAATCATATTTTGGCTAAAAAAAAAACATTTGGCGTTATGCTAATCCGGGCTTTCCAACTTAACGCCGCGAAATGAATGTCGACGTAGCCTAATGAACGCCGCTGCACAGTCTCTCAGGGAGGCAGAGAAGGAAGGTCGATCGTCTGAGGCTCGCAGGACACGGACAGGGAGGATAAACCGGTGAAATCCGGCGGCCCGACAGCGCGCCGAACAGCCGCGTCGCTCCGCCGTTGTGAGACAGGAAAACGCAGCAGGCAAACAAAGGATCATCCCACGTAAACCGGATGACTTCATCAAGATGTGTCTAATTCACACATTCCAGTAAATTGGCTAAAACTGGGGGATTTTGTTGTGCGTAACACCCAGGAGAAGCATCCTGGCTCTGCTGGGTAAATAGGTGTCTGACTATAGGGGGAAATTAGGGAAATTAGAATTTTCTTGTATGTTTTCTGACCTCTTTAAAGCGCACAGAGAACCCCGTGTAGATGTCGTATCGTCAAAGACACACACTGCCAGCCATCAGGGGTTTGCCTTCTGAATCCTGCCCCATTTAATCCGGGCTGGGCCATGGGGGGGGCACAATCTTGGCACAGACCTCAGCGCGCACCCCCCCCCCCTACCCCCCCAAGTGGGCCGTCACGGCAAATCATCAGCGCACGAGCTCTGCACTTTTACCACCCCCGTCTTTCCATTTAGCTGTTGCCGCAGATGCGGGGCGCAGCCCTCGTGGGACTTATCTCCCGTCACGCTCTGCTGGACCTGTTGTACGTGGGGCCCAGATACAGAGAGCAATGACAGGTCCAGTTCGGTCCGTGTGGCTGCCGGACACTGCCGGTGTGCTTGAGATCTCCGTCGAGTGGGACTTGCATACATTAGTCACGTTATCGCCGTTTGACACGGAGAATCCTGAGCAAGCGTTTGCGGTAAAGAGGCTTTGGGGCACAGCGGTGCATTCAGAAAGGCAACAGGTGCTCCACTGGGAAAACAACAGTTGTCCAGGTAGGTTGGCCAGAAAACACACAGACCCCCACCGGGTCCGTCGACAGCTCAGGTTGGCTGATAGATTTATTGACAACTTCCTCTGAGACCTGGGAACTAACAAGTTGGATAAGACGATGGGCTCAAAAGCGAGCGAGCCTGAGGGACACATCCGGTGGCCAATTATCTGTCCAGAGCCTCATCTCTGGCGCTCCACTTCTTCCCCGAGGGCCACCCCGTTTCAGACAGCAGCAGACATCAGTTCATCAGCAACCAAGTTCGCGCCATAGATGAAGGGTGTTTTGGTGGTTATTTATCTAAGCGGACACCAAGTGATAATGGTCAATAAAAGGCATGAGCTTTAGAAATGAAATGTGCACATTGCATAGCTCTCACTATGCAGGGAAGGCTGTGGGTTTAGGTGGCACCAATGGACCTTTGATTAACCACACAAGACCAACAGGAACATGCTCAAGCACAGCAGGCACTGGGCACTCAGGCATCTTCGAGAGGAATAACCACGTCAGAAATGCCACAGGAAAACCAAGGTACTTCTTCTCCCCCAAAGACCAAGAGCACCTTAAATGATCATGACACATCAGTACAGTTAAAAACAATTTACTCCGGGTTTAGGTGCAGTCATCCTCTGAGCACTGAAACGTCAACTGCCGATGAGCAAGGCAGGCGGGAAGGTGTACAAACGGCATACATGATTGTGCAGCTCATTCCTCCACAGAAAACAGCAATAATCATCTATACGGTCCCCTTCCTCAGGTTGTTAATAACTTCTCTGACAGCGATGGATAATCAAGCTCTACTCCAACAATAACACTGGTGCCCAAGCAGCTAGGTTATAACAATATTTTACACGTACCACAAATAAATATAATAAATTGATCATACCTCAGCAACACCTAAACTGAAATGCAATAGTCATGAAAAATTAATTCAATGTAACCTTTCTATTGCTATATTACTACTGCAGCATAACAGTGGCCACCAGTACTAATTACCCCAGTAATATGCAGCCCCATATATAACTTTTAATGGTTATGACGCATCTCATTGTTTGTACTGTTCCAATATGATATGAATTAATTCAATGACTACAAAGCATCAATTTTTAATTTCTCATTTGGCTTTTAATAAGATTTCAGTTGTTCAGATCCTAAGGGGGAAAAGATAAAATTTATTCCCCTCATCTATGGGTAAGTCTTCCGAAATGGGACGCTTCCACGGTCTGATCCAAGGGGAGGAGACAGCAGCTGATGTGCAGCAGGACCGCATACACGTTTCACATCGCCAAGACACATCGCCAAGACATCCCCGAAAGTTGTTTTAACAGCTAACACGTGACATCTGGGCTTGGGTCGTTCCATTCCAGCTGACGGCCGCGACAATTAAATATTTGAACATGGCAGGTAAAGAACCATGACCTACAGAAAGGGGGCTCCTTGTTGATGCCATAACCTCCTGAGACCCAAGGAAAAAGTGTCCTTCAGTTTTAGGTTAATTGTGATTTTCTATGTCTTTGGAGGAAATAAGACATCTTTTTTCAAATTTATTCTTATTTTTAATTTCGCAGCATGTCCTCTTTAGTGTACAACAAGAATAAATATGTTTCCTTACATCAGTGAAAAGATATATGCAAAAACAAAATATCCACTGCAATGGACATAAATGAATGGGTGGGGCCCCGGTCGCTTAATCTTTCATTACACATTTCATTTATTTAGCAGAGAATTTAATTCAAAGATACATACATTTGTGAGAAGAGAGTCAGCCAGTCCCTGGACCAATTCAGGGTTAGGGTCCTTGCTGAAGGGCTCACACTCTGCCAGCCGCAGGATCTAAACTGGCAACCCTCTGATCATTGGTATAGCGCCCCCTGGTGTTTGGCTCAGCACTGTGTCACTGTTATTCGCAGGGCTGGTACAGATTGCCACTGAAACGGCACGAGGCTGGGGGTGGACGCGTAATGTGTGGTGAGGAGATGCCTAGTGTGTGGAGCACAAAGCAGCATATGCACGGGGGGTGTGGGGGTGTGGGGGTGGGGGTGGCCTGCCTGCCTGCCTCCTTCACAGTGTAAATTTATACAGGAGAAACAAAAGGCGGACGCCCTATTTTCAGGGTTGGTACAGCACCGCAGCAAGAGAGGAATTCAGCTGGATCTGTGTGAATCGTCACTCGTACCCAGGCTGTGATCCACCTTCATAAAACCGCTTCTCTTTACAAGTCCCACCGACATCGGAATGCCAAACCCTGTGTACAGATTCTACCTAATGCAGCACAGTTTCCTCATTGAGAACTTTGTTGATGTCTCATCATATTAAAAATGACAAACACCAAGGGCACACCGTGTCTTCCAGCTCTGCCCTGGGAAATTTATTTTTCTCTGAGCAGAAATTCAATTTGTCAGAATAATTCTCTCTTTTTTTTGTTCCCGGTGGTATTTTAAATGGCTCCATCTAATTAGTGATGAATCACTGATTATTTATTATTGCGCAGTGCTCACTGGGATTTACAACTGAGACTTTCCCACCATCTCTGGGCCCTGGGTGCTCATGACGGTCAGCAGTCTTCAGGGACACTGTCGGTCAGTCCAGCAGTGGAGGAGAGACGGGAGCGTCGAGACCTCCTGCACTGTCGATCTACTCCACTCTATTTTGGACTCACGCTGCACACAACCAATTTTGCCGCCATGCTGCAGACCAGACAAATATCTCTCCATCAGACACCGGTGTGCACAGTAAGCCCTGGCTCACACCCCAGTGGTACACATGCAAAAGCAGCCATTTGCAATAGTTGCCTAGCATCAATTAAACTGCCCCCAGCAGAACCACATCCTAAGCAAACCCGACTGCACAATGCCATGGCGATGGGTGGTTCAATCTCAATTACATTAATACCAAAGCCTGGGAACCTACAGACACATCAATACAAGTTCCATGTGTCTAACGCCACCATAAGACATCATTGCTTACTTTGATTAAACCACCACTACTTCAGGTGACATGTATTCTCCTTTTAATTATATACATACAAACATGGAATGAGGCCAAACTTAGGGGGACTGAAACACATTTCTCCCTGTAAGTGAAAAAAGTAATCCTGCAACAGTGGTAACAGGAAACCAAACTGCCATATTGAGATGGTTTGACATGCTGCTGTTCTGTGCAGAGAGACGGGAGAGAGCCGTCAGAGAAGCTCAGGAAGGGCAAAAGCATCTTTGATACAGACTAAATTAAACTTCTTGTTCTAATGACTTGGCTAAGCTGTCATCGGGCAGAAATGACACTCGTGTCAGACAGTTTGGGGATGAGGAGGGGGGCCGGTTCCACTTCCACAGGGCCACATGGGAAATCACTCCAAAGGCTGTAGCTTAAAGCATGAAATTAAACCTGCCACGTGTATATTGAACTCAAGCCTTCCTGCATAGTCAAACAGCAGCGTAACGCAGGAGCATCACGAAGTGCAGGCAGGCTGCTTGGTATCGCGCTTTGTGTCGTTTGCACTTTCAGCTTCCACAAGAAACACAGTGAGCAGCTGAGATTTAACACTCTATCGTTAAAGTTTAAATATGACGGGCAGACGCTCGGGTGATGACCGCCCACAATGCCGGCACTATAAGCAGACGGAATGCGCTCCTCTGAAGAAGAATCAACGCAGACGGCTGCTAAACCCGCTAAGCCCCATGGCAACCGGCAGAAGGCACAGATCGATAAGCCGGTGCCGGCGGGGTGATCTTTCTCAACAAACGGCGCCCAATCATGTTGCCCTCATGGCCGAACCGAATGTTCCAGAATGCGCCACAGAAGGCAAGCATCACTCGATTTAAAGCGAATCGCTTTCTTCTTGTCCGCATCTGAAGCTGCGCCAATTTAATTTTAAAGCTCTACGTGTCTGAATGCAGCACAAATACACTAAAGCAGAAGCCAGAGTCCCTCGTGGGAGACGACTGATCACAACAGGAACCCATTCACGCTCGGATTTGAGAAGTTGGCTGAGTGGCTGTCCCTGAGGAGAACAAGTGGAAGGACTTTGGTACAGAAACTCTAAAAAGTCAAAGCTACAACAAGATATATAATGCTGAAACATGAAGTGTGACCAAACAGATGGAACAAGTCTGGGCAAAAAGAGTTTAAAGATTCATTATGATTTGTAAAGAGCACAGAAACCAGGGAGATGTTCCTCATTAGTCTGGGAGCATCTGTAAGAGGGCAATCAGAGTCTTCAGGTTTCTGCCAAAACATCAGCCTTCAGAATAGAGCTGAAAACTCACTGAAGGCCTCAGGATGAGGACTGAGAAGAGCTGGTGTAAATCAGAGCGAGCAGAAGACAGATATCCATAGTTCTATAGCATCCACCACCCATTAATGGTGATATCCCCCTTGCGACAGCTCGGACAAGCACTGCTGCTGGTCATTACTGGATTAGCGTTACACAGCGAGTCGTGGACGGCACAGCGCCCCACTGAGGTCAACAGCAGCTGCAGAGTCTTGTCAGGCAGTTGAAGAGACTCTTCAGTGTTATGAGAGCTTATGATAAAAAACAGCTGAACAATCCAGTTGCCGAGTACAAAATTCATTTCCAGATGGCTTTTAATTGCTATAGAACAGAACCAGCTACTGGCACAGCATTGCAACGTACATGAAGACATTAAGGTGACAGACTTCAAACATGACTGTAGCATGTTGGTAGGTCAAAACAATTAACTTTTGCTGATGCTTATTGTTAATTTTAGTAATGCTATATACAAACATATATAATGAAAGATAAAAAAGACAGACAGGCAGGCAGGCTTTTCTGATCCCAGGGGGGAAATGAACATCGAATCATCCTTGATTAAGATCAAACTGACCTCCGATGTTCCTGTTTGGACACAAACCACCGCAAAGATCTCCTAAAGCTTACTGGACACACCTCACCTCTCAGGCGGAATCTGGTGGCTTTTATGCACTGATCATCCCGCCAGGCTGTTCCTGATCACACTACACATAAAAACATGAAAAATGCTCATGCTCTACCAGTGTCCTTCCCAGGAGCAGTGACAGAGAACAGGACCACTAATCCCACTGGGTCTTCAGTTCTGAACCAGTAAAAACACAATTTTATGAATATCCTAAGAAGAAAAAAATACTAACATAATGCCTAATGTCCCTCTTAGCCTTTGCTGCTAAACGGATCTATAAAAAAACAGAAAAGATTACGTTTTTTGTGCTACTAAGTTAACATGCTATAAACCCACTGCTTTATCTAAACAAACGCATAATAAACCAGAAAGCGGCAGACGGTGTGTAAAGCGTGTGTTAGAAAAAGGCGTTTGGTTAACAACAGCTGCTGAGCCGGAAGTTCGGATGAGGGAGGAGGGAGGAGGGCCGGTCATTCTTACTGCACGTGGAGTCCACTTCATCAGACCCATCAGAGCACTCGGGCTCGCCGTCACAGCGCCACCTAGCAGGCACGCATTGGCCATTGCTGCAAGTGAAGTCCGACGGGCCACAGGTATTTTTTGCTGCTGAAATGGATAAAGAAAAAGAGAGAGGGAGGCTTACTTAGGACATGCCGGCGAACAAAGGCAGCAATTAGGCACAAACTAGGGCTGAATAGTATTGACAAATTTACACTGAGATATTTGAAATTTTTGCAACAAATATTGCTATACTTATAAAACAAAAAAGGAGCTGGAAATTTACCCAAAGAAATATATATCTCCATACCAGGCTTTCGGTGACCAGTTCTTGTTTGCTTTTCTCCCCCTTACTCATTTTTGTTAAATTTCTCACAAACACACCACACTATCTATGAGTGAGTCTGACAATAAGGATGAAAATAATACTGAGTATTATTACTGTCCCCCAGAGCACAAGCGTGCCTCACACAAAACCAGCGGTGGTAAGCTTTAGACTGTGTTACTAGATAATCTTGAACAGTAACCATCATTAAAATTGCTGAGTTTTCTCTCCTATAACAAAGTAAAAATGTTTTAGTGTAACATAACCCAGCTGACTATCATGGTCCAATGCTATAACTGCATGTGCATAACAATGCAATGTCGATATTAAGATCGGACATGGTGCAGGCCCGTCACAAACCATGACAGCCACCATGACGCTTCCCCTCACAGCGTCACATGTGCAGCTCGGCCTGATGCTGTGCAGGCTTCTCCTGAGAGACAGTTTACGGCTCCCTGCAGGTCGCTTGATTTTCCAGCAAGCCTGTCAGGCGGCTACTGGGACCAATTGCGAAGACAAGACAGCTGGTCTTAGAAGAAACAATCGAGATCCAGCGAGCCCCCACCACTTGCGCTGAAATGGCCATTCTCTGCTTCTCTCACCCGCAGTCCCTGCCTAGACCACTTAACCCGCGACTGACGCAAACAGAAGCTGGGGACCGAAAACGCTGCATCACTTTTAACTTTACACTCCCCAGGGAAGGGACTGATTTTCAGCCAGTCCTGGGTAGCCGCCAGCTGAATGTATCAAGGAGGCATTTCAGCCAGGAGTGCACAAGGGAGGTCAGGAGGCCTGACAGCTGCTGGGATCCCACAACAGGTCTTCCAACAGCCCAGCCAGAACCCGCCGGGACAGACAGAGGTCGGCACTGTCCATTTCCAACTCACTAGTATTTCAAGCCCACCTTCTTGTGTATTTGGGTCCAGACACAAATAACCAGAAGTATTACCTACACACTAACTTGACCTCGACAGAAGAACCCTACACTACACTACGGTCAATTCTCACTTAATTTCTTGCGCCGGCCTTGTGATACACCAAAACCGCGATGGGGAGGGTCGACTGTATTGCCAAATAAATTCCCAGAGTCCCGGAGAACAGGCAGAGCAAAGCGATCACCAACGTCGCCGATTATTAGTGGCTCAGAGATTCTCTGGCCTACTTCCTGACCTCAGTAAATCTACCCTCAAACCATCTTCTGCTCCAATCCCTCCCATCACATTAGAGACTCCCACTCGCATGTTTATAACAACAGTAATAAAACTATTAAAATGCCTTTTAATTCCCTTTTCGGTTCAGTGTCAATTTAGGGTGTCGTCGGTGAGCTGAAATCCGCACCGGAACAGCAGCACAAAGAGCCAGTGACTCACGACAGCTGAATGGGAATGAGGGGGCAGCATTCCCAGACCGAACCACCTATCGCTCATGGTAACCAGCCGGCCCCCCCAGGCTGGCTCCGGGTCCGACGCCCCCATCTGTGTTTCCTTTGAGCCTTTTTGCATTTCCATTGCACATGCAGATGATTCCGGTGTGGGGGGGGGGGAGGGGGAGGAATATCCTCCAAGCCATTTGGAAATAGCTTGCTAGTACCGCTTCTAATGTAATTAAATTTCTTCTCCAGCTCTTCTCAACCACCAGCCCCCTGCCCCCCAAGCTTCACTTCAGATGCTTGATCAAAACACAGGGTCTAGGGGGTGTGGGGGGTGAAAAGGCAGAAAGCAGCTTTTCACAAGTGTCTGGATTACGCCAACTTCACCGAGCGGGGATGTTTTTGGAGCTGCAGGTGGCCTCGGCCTCGTATACGTAGAGCCGGGCCAGGAGCAGGATGAAACGGCAGATGAAGACGGAGGCGGGAGGTCGAAGCCGCAGAGTTTGTGTATCGGAGAATAAAACATAAACAGCTCCATTCGGTGGTGGAGTGAAGCAGACACCACTGCAGATATTTTGGGGTATTTGGGAGAGCATGACATCGTAAAAATTATTTTACATGTGAATATTTCTAGCCTAGCGCCCGTTGCTTGCAGGATGGGCTCCACGATCTTGCACAGGAAAACAGTTGGATGAATAACTGAATGAATGACTGAAGGAAGGAAGGAAGGAAGGAAGGAAGGAAGGAAGGAAGGAATATTTCACCAACTTACATTGAGTAACTAACTTTATTATGGTTATGCACCAGAGTCCCCCCAGACAACAAAGTCCAAATCCCAAGCTATTCTACTTGCTGCTCTTTTCACAGAGATGTATCCACAGGAAGAAACAAATGACAATAATCAGTGGCACACCTTCCATCAAGAGTCCCGACTCCTACGCTTACTGTCAGAGTAAGAAGCATATTCCTCCGGATATTATGGAAAAATGGAAATACCAAGGCCTTTGTGACAGCAGCGAGAGATGCATTATCTCTGAATGCGGGTCTTTCTCTCTGTGCCTATAGGCAGCCTGTGAAAAGCTCCTCCAAGGATAAAAGGGATTCTGGAAACGAACATAGACAAGATAACTACGAGAAGAAGTGGCGAGTAAAGGCGCAGATTAATTTGGGAGGTGGTGTCTTTTTTTGGGGGTGAGTGGTCCAGGATCGAAGGGTGGCTGTGGAAGAACCCCGAGAAACCTTCAGACAAGTGGCTTGGAAGCCCAACATCGCCAGCGGCCTTCAAAACCAAAGCTCTCCATCTTGGATTTCCTCCGCATACAGGAAACACCTTATATAACATACCAGGCAGTCTATATCTTGGTTCAGACATACTGGGGAACATCTAGACCATGCCTAGATCTTAAGGACCATTCATGTACAGGGTTCACCAGGAGTTATTAAATGATAACAACTCTTAGATCATAACAGGTCATCCTGAGTAAACTCACCAGGTCCTGGGCGACATTTACATTACTGCTCAAGTGCCAGGAGATGGAAGTACAGGAAGACTGATTCCCTGTCAGTAAACGAAAACAGGCCTGTCTAAAGTCAGACGGAAACAGAACATGAGGCAAACGTTTTTCAGTCCCCGTGTGATCCGGAGCTCTGCCTAACGGCCATCTCGACATGTTCAGCCGCTCCGCTAAGCAGGAGGCTTCAGAGGCGTGAGCACAGCAGCGATTTCAGGCTGTCCGGCAGCGAGAACGGCAAGACCCCAAGCCTACTGAGTTCCACAACAGAAGCGCAGACCGCACTGTACCAATCAATCCACCGGCATAGTGCTCTCAGCCCAAACACAGCTGTGAAAAGCTCAATCTTCAAAGTTAAATAATTATTAAAACCAAACCCAACTGTTCATCACATGTTCTCTGTTCAACCTGTGTGACAGCAGCTGTATGTTCTGGACAACCTGTGGGGAACCCCCACGTGCATCCTGGCAGCTGCTGTCAGTGCTGATGGTTTGACCCCCCCAGGGCTGCCAGCTTCATCCTACATCTGCATTCCAGCCCCCCCATCATCATGACAGATGCAACATCATGCTGCATGCAGATAACAACCCCCACCCTTCAGACCAATTTAAAAGCACCTCTTCTCAACACACATCCGCCTCGCAATAGACACACATCCACAGCTACAAATTAAACACACCTCATATTTAACATTTTATCTGATGCTTTTATCAAAAGCAATGTACTGAGAAAGCAGGGTCAGCCATCTTCTAAAGCAAATGGGGTTGAGGTCCTTGCTCAAGGGTCCTACTTAGAAACTTGTTTGTCCAACTTGTTTGACTGTAGGATTTGAACCAGCAAGCTTCTGATCATACACGCAGCAGCCTAAAACTCTTAGCCACACCCCTCACCAGCTTTAACGATTAAATTCAACTCAAATTGAACGGAATCATTAAGGCAGTGGTTTCCATATGGCCACGTGGCAGACGGTCACCAGGAGGTCCAGCACGAGACGGGGATCGCCGTTCCTGCCAAGCACCCTGCAGAGGCCACCCCATCGACCCGCACCTGGAGCCAGACTCACGGGCAGGTGGGAGCACACATTCATCGCCAGGTTTGGGCACCCCCTCAGCACCATGCCGTGAGGGCGGCCGCAAGCCAGAAAACCCTCTGAAAAACTTCAAATGCCCAGCCGGTTTGCAATTATAATCAAACACATGGGCACACGAATAAGATGCGCCAATCAAAAATGGCGGACAAACAGGAAGTGGCTTTAATGAGAGCAGCTGGATAAACGGCCACTTTAGTACGTGTTCTACAGCAAAATGACCAGAGTAATTAATCACTCAGAGACCCCAAGAGCACGTCATGATTGCAGAATGTGCCTAACAGTACAGAAATTCAGGTTTGCTGAATAACCTAACAATCTGATAAGACTGTACATAGCCATAAGATGGGGGGGTTACTGAACGCTGAAGAGCAGGGTAGGGTAAAGATTGAGGGTTTGTTCTTTGACAGAAGGTTGTACATAAAAAAATAAAATCTCATCATGTTGGTTGGAATTACAAGATCTCTGTAAATCCAAAGCATGATGGTCGCCTTCGTGACAAAGGACAGGGAGCCTTTGGGGAGCAAGAGCGTCTTTAAAGCAATATAAGCACCTCATTTTGTTTCACAGCCAGCCGGTCCGCCCCTCCCCCATCTGTGTGAAAGTCTGAGTGCCCGTTTGTGGTGTGGCAGACACCCACCTGGCGGCGTGTCACCTTGCGTGCCACATCCGCTCTGGCACAGGGACCGCCCCGGTGGCCGTCGTGTGGCTGTAGCCTGCGCTCTGAAATCATGTTCTTTAGGGGTCTCGTCAGCAGGGCCAGCTAATCGGCCGGCTGCCTTACATCTGCTCACCGTGAACAAAGCAGAGAGATTT